ATGCTTTTCTCCTCAACAGAGAGAGTTCCCCGATTGAACAACAGCACCGTAAAATAAGAAGAATGGCGCCTAATTACAGAATTAATTTGTAATATGTCACGTGAAGATTCAGCAGTCAGATGAAGTGTTTACTGGCAATTGACAGTGATAGCGGACATCATCATCACTATTCCAGTCAATCCTCTCCACACAGACAAGCATAAACACACTCGACTATCACTAAATCAAATTTAACACATGTTTGTAATGTCGCTAATTCAGTTTACAATAGGGTTCATTTGCTCAGTCAGCAGGTGGCAGTGTCCTCGAACACTGGGGTGTAAACGGCCATTAAACGAACAGAAGAAGAAGAAAACCCCTGCACATGCGCAGTACGGATCGGGTAGACCCGAATTGTACGGTCCGACTTTGCACGTGCGCAGTAAGGATCGGGGAGCCCTGATTCATCACTCTTTTTATTTTTTTGTTTTTGTCTACATTATATTAAATGTTTCATTATCGGAAACATTTTAAGAGATACTTATTATTCTTAACATCTTAACAGATACTCTGACCCGTAACTATCGTAAAATGCTTCGACCGGAAGTAGACACCTTTCGCGCATGCGGGGTACCGATCGGGTTTCCGGCACGGATCGGGTAGTGACAGCCCCCCTCCCTGAGACTGGAACTGTTAAGAGTGTTTTTCCCTCCCACTGTCACCAAGTGTTTGCTCATAGGAGATCACATGATTGTTGGGGTTTCTCTGTATTATTGCAGGGCTATTACCTCACAATATTAAGCGCCTTGAGTGTCGAGCACTTTTGCATGGGAGAGAGGGCAAATATTACCAAGTTAAGACTGAATGCTGTGATTAAAGGTTCTTCAGCAGTATCAGTTAAAGGGTGTGCACTTATGTAGCCAGTTGAATTTTACAGGTTATTGGTGACATTAAAGGTGGAACAGTTTTGAAATGATTTATTGCAGTATTGTGTTTTCAACAACAAAAACCTGACATATTATTAGGGGTGTGTTCACATTTATCTCCACTGTATAGAGAGAAACAGGAGGGATGAAGAAAGGAAGGATGTTTTCACCTTGTCATTCCTCTCACAAAGGAACTTGAGTCTCTGGGCTCTCTTGTGCATGAAGACTCCGTCAAGGTGGCCCGTCTCCACTGAGCGGATCTCTATAGCCTTCTCACCCCAGCCCATGATCTGGTTTGACCTAATGTAGGCTGCACAAGCACAGAAAGGGGAAAAGGAGGGTAAGTAGCTGTTAAAAAAAAAAAAAAAAAAAAGCTGTAAAAATTCAAACAACGTGTCATTTTACTTGTGAATACTTCTAATGATAAATGTAATACTTTTACATATTGATAAAAAAAAAAAAAAAAAAGCTATTAAACAAAAGTGTCTAAAATAAAGTGAAACCTCGACTGCTGTTGGCGTGTAATCGAATGCATCAAGTGAAGCTGCTGCTGGGCTTTTCACATCTGATCGTTTTATTCTGAAGGTTGAACCTTCACTCTGCTGCACACTGAAGTTGCCAGCATCATTTGCACCATTGCTTTTAGAGTTGGGAGATCACTTCTCCCAGTAAAATAACCAGAAGTCTCTGAACACAGGACTTTTTGGTGCTGCAGACCCTCTTCACTCAGAGCGTTTTCACACCTACAGATTTTTTTTACTCTGGTCCAAATCAGCTGACAAGTTTGTAAACTTGTAGCTTTTCCCTGTGGTTTGGTTTGTTTTCACACAGAAAAATCCAAGCAAACCAAAATGTTTCACTGCAAGCCACATGAGAATGTTCTGTCCGCTCACTGGCCAGACGTATCTGGGGTGGGAGCAAGAAAAGTAAATACAGGAAGGGAGGTGCTGTGTGAGAAAACAGAGTTTACAATCATTTCTTGGCTAGTTGCTAGCCCGTATAGACCTATGCACATCTATAGTAGCTACCTGCACTGAGAATACAAAGCATAAGTTGCTATGGGATATTTTTTAGCCCTTGTAACATGTTCTGAGTGGGCTCGTATCACGTTCACACCATAAATATAGTTTGTTTGGAACCACACTGAGACCCCCTCCTGCAAAGGGTCTCTGTGCAGTTGTTTTTGTGCATACCCGAGTGCGATTCAGATTTTTCTGACCTCTGGCATCATGATGAGAAATATCTGCTTTTCACTTACCCACTGAAGTTGGCATTTCTCCCCACTGCAGCACCACATCCTTGGTGATGCGTCC